TCTATCAAACATTTCTTTAATTATGCTTTCCACCTCAAATACGCAAAAACGATAAAAAGAGGGGCCGTGAATACTCACTTTTCGTAATGAAAATAGCTCATATAACACATTCAATYRTGCTTTTCACCCCAAAACGTAATAAATACTTTGAAAGAGGGGCTGTGAATACTYACTTTTYRTAATGAAAATAGCTCATATAACACATTCAATCGTGTTTTTCACCCCAAAACGTAATAAATACTTTGAAATAGGGGTTGTGAATATTCACTTTTGCAATGCCCCGCAAATTAGAGATACGATCCGATCACCACACTAGTTCAATGATTCCCTATCAATAGGAATATCCAAAACCATCACTTATTGATTTATCACTACCTATGGGGTTTAATAAATCCTAAGTCCATATTTGTCTACTTATGTCCCATAATATTGTCCATGGTCCAAATATACATAATGTCCATATGCTCATCAATGAATTAATTTATATCGGAATTGATGCTATAATCCAAAAAGATCAAATTTTACAAAATCAACCAATCCCAAAATCTTGATCCTGGACAGAAACTTATGATACATAAAGATGATCAAAATAAAGAGACTTCAAAAATGAGATAATTTCCCATCTTTTTACATGGGTTATAGCACTGAGTTATAGTCATCGTGAAAAAATTTCACGTATTTTGGGCATGAAATGATGATTCAAATAATTTATGCAATACAACTTATCACAACTGAAATGGCAGATTACACCATGTTAATCAAACACTCTTTAAAAGAGTTCTACTAAGTGTTCTGCAGAAATTCAAGTTGGATTGAAAACCTAACACTTATAAGAAACGTTTAAACTAATAATCACTCATTTTGGATGAGTTGAGAGGAAGATATGACACTTTAAAGTCACATGCACACATCTGTCATTAGTTGACAGATTGCACACTTAACTTAAATAAATTGGTTCATGCCCCAAAACATCATATTTTTGAGTGAAATTAGATTCAAATGAATCCTAATTCATAAAAGAACATTTTAGATGAAGAATCATACATTAAGAACAAGTAAGTAGAAACATATTAGCATTCAAATTAAGAGTTACCTACTGGTGGTTTCACAGTTTGCACACCTATAGTGTTTTAGGTGCTTGGAGATCAAAACTCCACAATTTCATGTGATTCCACTTGCATGTAGGAGATAACCCATAAAGTTAACTCTCAAAAAGAAGAATCATCCTTTTTCATCGAGTTTTAAAAGAGATATGGTCGATGGAACATACATATACAAATCTGTCAGAATCGGACAGATTGCATGTTCATCTTATTTTGAGTAATTAAAACCTCAAATCACCACAATATTGAATGAAATCGGTGGCATTTGAAAGGTAACTCATTAAACTAACATCCAGAAGAAAAATCAACAATTTTGAATGATTATCTAGAGAGTTATGTCTGTTCAAATTAGGGTTTACCTACTGAAAAACTCTCAGATGCACATATATAATGTTTTGAGTATTTGGGGGGTAAAAACTCAATGCTTTTGAGTGAGACAAATTGCATTGCAACCCCAACTCAATAAATAAACTTTTAGAAGAAACCTCATAACATTTGAACATGTCAATTGCAAGATATRGACGATTTGTGCACAAGCACATAATCTGTCAGCACCAGGATATAAGATTTTTAAGAAATAAACCACATAAAATCATGATTTCTTCCTATCTTTTTGAGTTCTAGTGTTTGGGTCATAGATTACCACCATCATATAATCATTCTTACAAGTTTTTGGTGTATAATCTCTCCTTAAAACTCAATATTTTTGAAACTTAGAAAATAGAAGATGAAGAATGCAATAAAGTGGGTTTTTCTCCCCAAAACTTACAAGAAAAGTAAAGGGATGAATGTATTACCACTACAAGATAAAAGGGTTTTAGAGAAGGTTTTGTTTTGAGCTTAAAAGTATTAAAAGCTTCTCTAAAGGTTTTAGAGAAGCTTTTCAATTTCGTCACAATGCTTCTCTATATAACGGTAGGTAAAGGTTTTGGGGAGGGTTTTCGGAGGGTGCGTTTTTGTTAGCTTTTAGAGACACTTTTTTTGGGGCTTTAGATACACTTT